GAGCTGTTGGGAGCTCCTGGAGCTCCCTCTTGTGCTGAGCCTCACCTGGAGCAGCAATTTCTGCGTTTCCCAAAACCTTCTGTGTTTTCCTTCTCCATCCCACTCCTGCCCGGCCATCCCTGTTCCACCTGCCAGCCTGAAACCCCTTTTTGTTTTGTTTTGTCCCCCATTCCAGCACGAGGTGACATCTGGCACAGCTGTCACCGCAGCTGGAGGCTCTGTCACCTCCCTGGAACCCGAGGAATCCTTCCCACCTCAGCACAGTTTGCTCTTTCTCCCTCTCCAAGGGAAAAATAAAGAGATGGAAATGAAAAAGAAGAGATGGAAATGAAAAAGAAGAGATGGAAATGAAAAAGAAGAGATGGAAATGAAAAAGAAGAGATGGAAATGAAGTCAGTCTGCTCCTGCCCTAATCCTGGTGGGATTCTTGCTGTGATTCCTGGTGGGATGTCCTGTGCAGAGCCAGCAGTTGGACTTTAATGATCTGTTCCAATTCAGGATATTTCACAATTTGAGTCAGGAGAGCTAAAAAATGCTGTTTTTTACAATGATTTATAATTTATTACTGCTATGCATCCCCCTGTTTATTTTTTGAGTTGCAGAGGAGGTGGGGAGTTTTAGGCATCTCTTCCAAAGAAATCAGTGGGAATCTTCCCTCTGATTTTAATGCAGATCCAAACCCCTTGCAACGAGTTTGTATATCAAGAAAAATTAAAATTCTCACTCTCCTTTGCTTTTTAATTCCCTAAATACCATAAACCCCCCAAATTCTTTGAACCCAGCACACACAGACAGTTTTATTCCCAGATTTTTGCTTCCTGCTGTGATTTGAAGGTGCTGCAGCACTCCGACCTGTGCTGGAACCCTGGATTTTATCACACAGCACGGATTTGCCAGAGCCAAGAAGAATTTGGGTGAAAGGAAACCAGAGCTTTCCATTTCCTTATTTCTGAGGAGTTTCACAACCCCTGCCGGGGTGAGATCACCTGCGAGGGGACTCTTCCTCTCCTGAATTCCATCCCCAAGCCCTTTAGCTCATAAAAAGCTGATTAATACGGGGTGCTGAATGGATTTGCCGGGATTAAATGATGATTCCAGTAGCTTTGCTGGGGCTGGGGGAGGGAATGAAAGCTCTGCCCAGCAGGAATGAGCCGCTCTCACCCTCCAGCCTGGAATTCCAGCCCCCCTCATTTCCCCTGAAATCTGGCGCTGGGCACGAGGAGGGCAAAAAAAGCAAAGCCAGGGCTCTTGAGGACGGTTTTGTTTCCCAAACACACAAGGAAAAACAACATTTCCCAGGAAAAAAGGGTGTCCATGACATGCCAGGGCCGCCTCACAAAGGGAGACCCCGGTGCAAAAGGGGAGCCAGGTAATTCCATCCCTTTTCCCCTTTGGCTGGCTCGAGTTCCCAGAGGAGACAATGGATGAGTTTCTTAGCCCAGACCTCCCGACAAAGGAATTGGGATAACACCTGGGGGAATATGTTTTACATCCCAAAAAAGGCTTTAAAACCCAGCCCCAGTGTGGGAGCTGAGCCCAGAATGATTCCTGAGCTGTAATTCTGGTGTCTCCCAGAAATAACCGCGTGTTTCTGGTGCTTCGAATCTGCATTTCGGGACTCTCAGAGGGATCGACTCCAGAGACTGGAATAGGCACCAGGGAGTTCTCAAATAACTCCCCAAATGGTTATTTTTGGGAAATAGAAGCTTTTGGATCTCCTAGGCAGTAAATTTAAAGGGTGATAAATCCTTTATGTGCTGCCATCCTGCAGATTTAGGGGATTTGGGTTGTGGGAGCTGCTGGCACAGACTGATGCAGGATTTCCCCATCTCATCTTCCCCCTGATATCTGAATTTTAGTGACACCAAATGTAACTAGACTGGATTTACAGGAGATCATTTTATCCCTCTGAATCCAACAGAAATCCCTATGAATGTATTTTCTCTAGTCAAGCATTTAAAATCCTACATGAACCGTTGTTCTTTTTCAATGTAAATGAAATAATTTTTACCCCACACAGGATTTAAAGTTCTCATCATGAATGAATCCCCTCTACCCTCAAATTTAAGCTGAAAACAGAACAACTATAAAGACAAAACCCAAATATTTCCCCTTTCGTTTTCAGGTTTTATTTCTCTCAAGCACTTAATTCACAATTTGGTAATTTGGAAAAAAAAAGGGTTTGATTTCCAGGGATTTCAGTGTCTCCTTGCTCCTTGCAGGGGATTTTGCAATCCCAGGGTTTGATTTCCAGGGATTTCAGTGTCTCCTTGCTCCTTGCAGGGGAATTTTGTGATCCCAGGGTTTGATTTCCAAGGATTTCAGTTCCACTTTGCTCCCTACAGGGGAATTTGCAATCCCAGGGTTTGATTTCCAGGGATTTTGGTGCCTCCTTGGTCCTTGCAGGGGATTTTGTGATCCCAGGGTTTGATATCCAGGGATTTCAGTGCCACTTTGCTCCTTGTAGGGGAATTTTGTGATCCCAGGGTTTAATTTCCAAGGATTTCGGTGCCTCCTTGCAGGGGATTTTGCCAATCCCCCCTTGTCTCCCCTGCAGGTTCTCATTGGCCACAGCAGCAGCTGGGACAAAATAAAACTGATCCTCTCCCAAAATAAGATTTCCTTTTTCCAGGTGCAATGGAGGGGGCGTTCTCCAGGGAACAGGAGCATTTATAAGGTAGGAAATTTGTCTCCAGGAAAAATTCCTGTCTATAATCAATGTATAACTGCATGAGGATTAGGGTTTTTCTTTCCTCACACATCTGAGAACTAGAAATAATTAAGACAAAGTGCAGTCATCTCCCTGATATTTAAAATTAATGGATTTAGGTTAAATTCCTGTTGTGAACTGGAATATCTGGAATTTTAGGGAGCATACAAAAAAACAAGTGCATTTATTACCATCTTATTATGGGAAATATGTTAATAATTAGTAGGTATTTAGATCTAATTAAATTCAGATTAATTTTATGGATTATATGGCACTGCAGCACAGTTTAATTCTTCCTATTTTGTGTCCACTGTGAATTATAATTTTATTGGGGGGATTCCTATGAATGATTTTCTATTCAGTGGTGGTGAATTAATGTAATGAAAAAGTCCAAAATTGCAGTTTTATTTAAGTGCATTTATTTAGAATCACAGACTGGTTTGGGTTGGAAGAGACCTTAAAAATCATCTTGTTCCAAGCCCCTGGCATGTAAAAAAAAAATCTGAAAATAATTATTTAAGAACAATTAATATAGGAACAGTCTTGCCCATTAAAATAAAAATCTGTTTAGTGATTCCTTGCTCTGAGGATTTCATTTTTTCAGGCTGGTGAGGTATAATTTGGTTATTAATTATGTTTTCCCAGTGTTTGACAGCAATCCATCAATCTGGCTGCAGAACTGGAGTGTAGCTGGGTTTGGGGCTTGTGATGCGAGACAGGAAAACTTAGGAATGGATTTGAGAAGTGATTTAGAATTTCCCCATAAAATTATTAAATCCCTAAAATCACTGGGGGTTTTTGTGTGGAAATTATGGCTTTATTCACTTATCTTCAGCTGTTAAAGTACACTCCTGTGTGAGGATATTGTTCCAAAGGAAAATTCAGTTTTTTCCCCCTCTTTCCAGGCAGCAGATGATCCTTTTTCTCCTTTTTCTCCTTTTTCTCCTTTTTCTCTGTGGCTGCAGCTGCAGGCTCTGGCTGCTCCCTGGTGCTGAGCATCTCCCTCCACATCAATTCCCAGGAAAACTCTTCATGGTAAGGCTGGCAGGGAAAAGAAAATCCCAATTTAGGACAAAAATCTGGGCACGGAATCCCATTCTAATGAAGCACGCTCATGGAGAAGGGATTATTTATCCTTATGGGTTGAATGGCCCCAGTGGGCAACAGTGACCACTGGGGGTTTTATTTGGGGAATCAATTTTCCATTAAATGATTTCATTTTGTTTGAAAATGGTGAGGAAAAAAAGGAAAATCACTCTAAAAAGTGATTTTTCCTCTAAAACAGAATGGTTAATGATGGAAAGGTTCTAATCCAGCCCCCGAATGCTGGGTTTGGAGTTGGATCTCCTTCTTCCCTCTGGATGACAGGGATAGGAGGGTCTCTCCTGGAGGTTTTCCCATTCTGTGGAATGCTGTGGCTCCTGAGGAAGGTTGGGTTTCAGCTTCAGCAAGAAAGGGACTCTGTTTGCATTTACAGCTGAGGACCCTGCTTTAAAAAAGGAACAAAGGTGCTTTTTGTGACGAGTCACCTGAGAGGCGTCACCTGGCCACAGGAAAACCCGGGGCCTTCTGCCTCGGTCCTCTCCTCCTGGGTCAGCTGGATCACTTTAAAAATAAAGAGAGCAGATGTGAAAGTTTACATTAAAAAATCCAGAAAAATCAGGTAGAAACAAAGGGGGGAAAAAAAATATCAAGATAAAACTTTTGGTATACTTGATACTCCAAAGTGCCTGAGTTTGGAAAACTTGCTGTTTCATTTTTGTTTCCATTTATTCTTTTAGAGAAAAGCTTTTTATTGAGTGTAGCTGTACTGGACTCTGAAATCATTACAGAATACAATCCCTATCCTTCCAGGACCAAAGTGGGGTCTTAAGAGAGATGGAGAGAAACTTTTCCCCAAGGGCATGGAGTGCTGGGATAATGGGAATGTCCTGGAGTTGAAGAAGGGTGGGGTTGGATGGCATTTTGGGAAGGAATTCCTCCCTGTGAGGGTGGGGAGGGCCTGGGATGGGATTCCCATTGAAGCTGTGGCTACTCCTTGGAAGTGTCCAAGGCTTGGAGCAGCCTGGGGCAGTGGAAGGTGTCCCAGGGATGGAATGGGATGGGATTTAAGGTCCCTTCAACCCAACCTGGCCTTGAGCATTTCCTGGGATGGAGCAGGCACAACTTCTCTGGGAAAGCAGAGCCAGGTCCTCACCACCCTCACATCCAGGGCCTTGTCCTGGCTTTAGGGAAGAGCCAAAGGATGTTGGACAGGGATTTGGTGCCATGTTTTCCCACAGCTGCTGCCATGTGGAGCTGCCCGGGGCCCATCCCGCTGTTCCTGGTGCTGGCCGTCGTCCCCGCTCGCGCGGCGCTGAAGGTCACCCCAGCCGTGCTCTACACCAAGCCCAAACCTTCCCAGCCTGTCCTGGGGAAAATCCCATTCCCGGCAGCACCCGGCAGAGCCGAGTTCCCCACGCTCTTCCCCTTGGAGAATTCCACGCTGGACTCGGCCGAGTTCTTCTTCAACTGCTGCGACTGCTGCCCGCCCACGGCGGGGCCTCGGGGCTGGCCGGGGCCACAGGGACCCCCAGGTGGGCTGAGCCCTCTCTGCTGGGCTGGAAACACCAAATCCAGGGCCTTTTCCCTCAGAAAACCATTTGGTGGGATTTGTGCAGCTCACGGGGGCACATTGAGCTCCTCCCGAGGGGCAGCTCCGGTCGCTGCTCCCTGGGACAGGGACAGCAGCCAGGGAATGGCTGGAGCTGGGCCAGGAGAGCTTTGGGGGGGGTATTGGGGTTTTAGGGAAAGGTTCTTCCCCAGAGGGTGCTGGCACTGCCCAGGATCCCCTGGGAACGGGCACGGCCCTGCTGGAGATCCAGGAATGCTTGGACAGGGTGGGATTGTTGTGGGGCCTGTGCAGGAGCAGGAGCTGGGCTGGAGGATCCCTGGAGGTCCCTTCCAGCTCAGGAGATTCTGTGATTCCATAATTCTATGAAATGTGGGATGTGATTATGATTTGTGTGAATCCAGAGCAGAAAAGTTCATGTCAGCCACATCCTGGAAGTTACAAACCACCAGTGTGAGTGGGAATTCCTGAGCCCAGATTTTGGGACTATCCCAAATCCCTGCTGGCAGGAGGCCACACTCCTCAATTCTCCGTCCCTGGGAATTCCTGAGCCCAGATTTTGGGACTATCCCAAATCCCCGCTGGAAGGAGGCCACACTCCTCAATTCTCTGTCCCTCATCCCCTTGGATTCACAGCTTTAATTCCACATTCACTTCAACCATGGCTTTATGACCTCCAGAATTACCTTCAAGCAATTTTGCATCTTTACTCCTTTATTATTTTTTTTTCATTTTTTCCCCCATTGCAAAAGAGGAAATTAAAAAAAAAAAGGGGGTTCAATTTTAAAAATAAATAAATAAAGCACAAGAAGCAGCTCTCTATAAAAGGACCTAAATATTTCATAAAATACACTTTTTATCTTCTTTCTACTGCTAAAACACACATGCAGAGAGCACCTAATTCTGCTCCTGCTCTAATGAATAGTGCATTAGTCTGCAAATGTTCACTTTAATAGCACTAATATTGGGGATAGGAACTATCCATCTGAGGAAAGGTGGGAAAACCATGAAATAATTCTCCTTTAACTCAAAGCACTCCAGGGATTTTCGCTTCCCATGGCTTGAGAACGGTTGGCTCATGGAAATCGTGGTGGCTGTAAAGGGAGTTTGATCTCTCATCTCTTGATGGAAAAGTCCTTGTGATGACTGAAGGTGCCATAATCTGCTCCCAGACAGGCACTGGGAATCTCTGGGTTCCCAAGGGGGTGGAAAAGGGAAAGGATTTCAGTGCCTCCTTTCTGCAGCGTGGAGCTCTGGGCCAGGTTCCTCTTCTGTATTTGCAGAATTAATTCTCCTTAAGGAAAGGGACAATTCCAAAGGTGTGGCAGCTCCTTGGATGTGCTCAGATATTAAAGAGAGATTAATTTCTGATGTTTTATGAACCTCTGAGCTCCTGTGGCTCTGAGGCAGCTCCAAGTTGGTTTTAAAAACTCTTTAACTACGACCCAGAGTGAAATGCAAAGCTGAGAGATTTGATGATGTCAAATAAAACAAGCAGCTCTTCCCAAGGTGATGGAATCACCTCATACACATTCCTCAATGCCACATTGCTTAGGTACCGATGAAAATGTCATTTAAAAGTTAAACCTTGGAGTTACTGAGATAATTTTGTTGATTTTACAGGTCCCAGGGGGGAGAAGGGAGATGCTGGGCTGCCAGGGCTGCCGGGAACTCCTGGCTCTCAAGGTCCAAAGGGCTCTAAAGGAGAAAGAGGTAAACCAGGCTAATGGAAAATGCTGTTGTCCTCATAAAATACCACAAAATTATTAAAAAAACATATTTTTTTCAAAGCAAAAGAAGATTGCTGCGAGGGATTGAGGCCTGGAGACGTTCAGCTGGCATCAGTGCAGGGACAGGAACTCAGGTGGTGGCAGTGTTTGTTCAGGTGGAATAGGAGCAGCTGCTTATAAAGATCTCACTAAAAAAATTCTTGTTCTGAACAGGAGTTCAAAATCTGGGTTCAGCTTGCTTTGGATTAAGGGCAGAAGTAGGAAAATGCCACCAAAGGAAGTCGTGTGCAGGTGTAAAATCTGCATTTCAATTTCAATATCTTAGAGGCAAAAGCACTTCAGTTAAGATGCTGAACAATCATGATCCATCAGTATTCCTGAAAGGAAACCCTGCCCTTCGTTTGGGGCTTGGAGCAGCATTATCCTGACAGATCCTGCTGCTGCCTCTGGAGAATCACCGGGGTCCCAGCAGCAGAGTGTGCTGCTGTTCAGTCACTGCAGCCCCTTAGGCAGCGATTTACTCCGGGAGAAAGGTTTTTGGCCACCCTGGAGTGAGGAATGCAGAGTTGCCACCTTCTCCATCTTCCACTAAACAGCAGCCACAGCCTCGCAGAGGGGCAGAAATCTTGGGGTGAGGTGGTGCTGGGGGCTGTGGGGTCCAGCTGAGGTTCCTGCAGGTGTTTCTTTAAAACCCACGTTGGTCATGTCTGTTTTGTTAATTTTAATTTTAATTTTGTTTGTGAGGGACACACACAGATGGTCCCAGTGGGGTGTGGTGTTTGCTGCGCTGCACACACCAGCACCCATTAATTAATTAATTAATTAATTAATTAATTCATTCATTCATTCATTCACTCATTCATGCTGGAATGTCCCAGGAGGAAAAGGGGAGCAAGGGGAGCGAGGAGCAAGTGGAAACCCCGGTTATCCAGGGAAACCTGGGCTGCAAGGTGGGTCTGGAAAATCCAGGATCGCTCTGACCTTTCTCTCTGCTCTGGGTTTTTTTGCATGGAAGGACCAAGCCTTTTGGATGGTCCTTCCGTCTCCAGAGCAATCCAATTTTATCGGTTTTAATCTTCTTTTTCCCTCCCAGGTGAAGCTGGAGCCAAAGGCAATAAGGGCAACCACGGCTTCCCTGGACTGAAGGGACAAAAGGGCGCCAAAGGGGACACCTGTGACAACGGCACCAAAGGCGACAAAGGGGACAAGGGGGATCCTGGAGAGCCGGGAGCGGGCGGAGAACAGGGGGACAAGGGAGAAAAGGGGGACACCGGGGAAAAGGGATACTGTGGGGAGCCGGGGGGGAGAGGGGCCAAGGGGGACAGAGGGGAAGGCGGCACCAAGGGGGAAAAGGGCAGCAAAGGGGACACGGGCGCCGAGGGCACGCAGGGGGCGGCTGGAAAACAGGGAGAGAAGGGCGAGCAGGGCTGCAAGGGTGACAAAGGGGACCTGGGCCCCGCGGGCCTGGCAGGCCCCAGCGGCCCCAAGGGCGACCCCGGCACCAAGGGCGGCCGCGGAGCCCCGGGCAGGAAAGGCTCCCGCGGGGCCAAGGGCGCCCGTGGGGACGTCCCCAAGTCCCCGCGCTCGGCCTTCAGCGCGGGGCTGTCCAGGCCCTTCCCTCCTCCCAACGTGCCCATCAGGTTTGACCGCGTGTGGTACGACGAGCGCCATGACTACGACCCCGCCACGGGCAAGTTCAACTGCAGCGTGCCCGGCGCCTACGTCTTCTCCTACCACGTCACCGTGCGCGGCCGGCCCGCACGCCTCAGCCTTGTGGCCAGCAGCAGGAGGGTGGCCAAGGCCAGGGACACCCTGTACGGCCAGGACATCGACCAGGCCTCCTTCCTGACCATCCTCAAGCTGAGGGTTGGTGACCAAGTGTGGCTGGAGGTTGGGAAGGACTGGAACGGGCTCTACGCCGGCGCGGAGGACGACAGCGTCTTCACGGGGTTCCTGCTGTACCCAGATGGTTTCGAGGTCATTCTCTGAGTTTTTGGTGTGAAGATAACCCTGAGGAACATCTTTTCCCTCTGGGTGTGAGAGGAGAAAAGGGCAGCACCTTGGTTTAGTTGTTATTTTCGTGATGTTTTAACAAAAATGTTTGCATGTGCGAGGCGTGGATTAGTTTGAAGATATCACACATCCTTTATCCGTTGTCCAAACATCAACAGGACCAGCATGGGGAAGGTATTTCCCAGCACAGTTTGGAATTAGAATATTCAAATCATGGAATGAATCTCCTTCCCAGCTCCTGCAGGCCCAAACTCGCTCTAGGGATCAGTTATGATTTTGATAAAAATGCCAGGGTTTGATTTATAGAGCTCAGCCAGATGGCAACATGAGCAGTAGGTCCCTTGAAATCACCTGAAAAGATTTAAAGCTCTTTTATCCTTGAATCAGTATTATTTAGTGCTTTAGTCTTGGTCACAAATTATAAAAAAATTTGCCTAAAAGAATGTTAGATCAGTGTAAAAAAACCCTTCTAAATCTTGTTCTTAAACAAAAATAAATCTGAAATTTTCAAAAATAGCTGAGAGATTAATATTTCACTTTATTGGTCCACTTGGAGCCCCAGTTTCTGAGCCCCTGATGCTGTGGGATCATCCCTGGGCTGCTGGGAGGAGGAGGAGGCAGCCAAGAACAGACTTTGGAACTCCCTCGAGGTGTCGTGATGGCTCAGAGGATTTGTGGGAAAGTTTAAAAAGCCTCCTGGAGACCATTTGACTGGAAAACCTTAATCCAAGCTGTTTTCCACCTTAAAAATACTGAAACATAGAACAAATCCCTCATTTTGAGCTGTTTTTCCTCATTTTTCACGCCATGGCAGAATGACAGTGGATTGATTGAGCATGTGCATTGTCTCATCGTGGAGATGATAAGAAAAAAAAAAAGCCAAAATATTTGTTCCCTTTTACTTCTGCTTTTATTAGCAAGGAGTTGTTTGGTAGAACTATTTCCTTTTCAGGCTGCAGTGAATCACTTTGACACTGGTGGAAGAAAATAAATGCTCAGGGTTCTAATCAGGTCAGCAGCTCTTGCCAGTAATTATGAAAAATTATTCCAAAGCCATAAAAACACCTTTTTTTGTGGTATTTTCCATGTTTTTAATCAAATGTTTGCCACTTAATTCCGTGACTTTAGTGGCAGGACTGGGTTAAATCACCTGGCTCAGTGTCTTTCCTTTGGCAGAGTGGATAAAATGCCAGGATAATCCCACGGTTTTCTGGGAGCTAAACTGTTATTTTTTCCCTTTGACTTCTGCCCTTTTTCTTTGGATATTCAGCTGGGTGCAACTGGGAACTAAATTGGCTTTGAAGGTGGGAGATTTGGGTTAGAGAGGAAGGCTTTATAAACACCAATAATTTGGATTTAAAGCCTTTGTGATGCTGCTGAACAGCTCTTGCTGGATAAAACTTATCAGAATATTTTCCCTTCAGTGAGGGAAGCAGTTGGGAGCTGTAGAAAGTAGGGATGAAACTACAGGAGATCTTGGGAATGGGAAGGAGAAAGAAACTTCACGTGTTTCCTTCCAAGTCCTTCATAAGCTTTTTAATATCAAAGAAAAGTTCTTGTTCATTTTGACAGGGCATATTGAAGATTTCTGCATCTCTGGCTTGTAAATCACAGCTCTTAAAAATCAGTGTAAGGAAAATTTAGATAATGGTGGAAAATTCCAGTGTTTCCTCTGGGATCAGTTACGACAGCTGAGCTGGTTGTTTTTCCCCTCTCATAAAAATGTAAATTGGATGAAGTCTTCCCAGGCTGGGGATTCCTTTTCCTTCTCCTGGGATTTTCCCCCACCTCTCTGATGCTGAAAGCATTGGCTGCTGTTTCATCAGCTCGGCTTCTCCTGGGTAATACACAGTGAGAGGGAATGGCTGGTCCCTTTTCCCTGGGACTGCAGGGGAAGGGAGGAACTTGGAATTCCCAATTTCTGCCGTGGCTGGCCCAGCTGTAACCGGAGGATAAAGATGGGATTTCTGCTCCTGCAGTCCCCAGCACAGCACTGGGAGGGGATCAAGTGCTGATGGAGGCAGGCTGGAATATCAGGACCTGTGTTCAGGACAGGAGTGTGGGATTCCCTTACCTGCACAGCCTCTGCTTTCTATTCTTCAAACATCTAAAATCCTTGGGTAGCCAAATCTGCAGGGTTCAAGAGAAAAATACAAGAATTTTTATTGACTGAGAGAGGCTGTGGGTTGTATTTATTTAAATAAAAAAATACATATTTTGACTAATATTGTCTTTGAGTCACTGACTATTGAGGATGTGTTTACTGAAACAAATTTGCAATAATGATATTAATAATAATCTCAACTTTCAGCTGGAAATAGCTGAAGATCAAGCCTTTAGATCTTTGCTGCTGTTAATGATTCTGGGCTGGATTTTGGGCTGGGCTGTTCCCCAGCAGAGCCAGCTCTGCTGTTTGGATGCTGTGGCTGTCCAGGGAAGTGGGAGCAAAAAGTGGCTCATCCTTGATTTCCCAAGGAGATGGAAGGGATGGGATCAGTTTTACAGCCCAAGTGTAATCCAGATGTCAGCCAGGCTCCTGCAGGGAATTCTCTTCTCCCAGTTTTCCCTCTGAAGGGTAAATCCCACCATCCCTTCATCCCGGTGTCCTGGTGCTGAGGATCCTCCTGCTCGCTGGGATTTGCATCCATGGATCTGGCAGAGGATTCCCGGGCAGGTGGGGAGCAACAGGATCAGGAGATGCCCCCGCTGTGCCCGGGCTGTTCCTGTCCTCTGTCACCTGGAATGCCCCAAAAAGGTCCCCAGGGAGAGGTGATGAGCTCACCCTCGGCATCCTTGCCTTGGCACGGCTGCTCCCTCTGGAATATTTCTGAGGAATTGCTTCAGGAACGCTTTGTTGCCTCACAGATCCTGCTCTGTGAGCTCCCACCCACAACCATTTTAACCCAAAATCCTGAACTGGAATATATCCTGAATATCCCATCCCAGCTGCTGGGAGCTGGGCAGCCTCAGTTTTCCTCCCAGCGTATTTGGAGCCAGGAAATATTAAAATATTGGGGAAAACACAAATATATGGCCCTAGATGTTGTAGAGACAAATCTACTCGGTGCTTTCGAGATCAGTCTTTATTTCCTTGTGTTATAAATGCAGCCACACACACAAAAAAATGAGCATTTAGCAGAATTGTCTGTGCTTTGTGTGGCTCTTTTCTCCTTATATTCACTTTATTTCTCCCCTCTGCGAACTTGCAGCCTTTATTTTTAAGGTTTTATTTTAGCTCCATCGCTATCCAGATTTTTCATCTCCCCAGGGCATATCTATTTGTTTGGATGACTAACTTGCTTTTCCTGTAGAAATCTGAATTTCTAAGTTGCTGATCCAAGTCTCTCCAATGATAAGTCATTGTCCATCTGTTTGCTCCCTCCTGAGCTGGTGCTGGGAGCTGCAGAGGGAGGATTAATGTGTGTGGAGTTAGGCCTGGATTAGCAAGGACAGCCTCGTGCCTTGTTTTCCCCATGTTCCTGTTGGTGTTCCTGGCTCCTCAGGAAAGAATCCCCTTGGTTTGATGGATTTTTTTCCCCCACTTTCCATGCCTGTGGAACTTTGTGGGGGGAAAGAAAAAAACTCTTCTAAAATCAGCATCATTAAGACCCAGGTTCCAGCTGGATTCATCCCACTTTAAATCTGTATTTGATGGACTTTTCTGCAGGTTTTTCAGGAGAACTGTGCAGGAGCACAGGCTGTGCTTGCAGGGTTTCAGCAGAACGGTGAATCTGCTGCAGAGAGCTCGCTGTGGCACCCCAGGAGCCAGATAAAAACTCGTGCTGGATGTGTGGCTGATAAAACAAGATGTTCTGAGCTGCAGAGATGAGATTTATTGTGCAGGGTCTGGAGTGCCAGAGTAGGAAAAGCTGTTTGAACCACGCACACCTCGTCTGCTGGGCCAGGAGGAATTCCTGGGCTGGTTTTTGTGACCGTGTCCCAGTGGGTCCTTGTGGGGCAAGGGTTTGGGAGTCCCTGCCAGGATTTTCCCTTGTGTGCCATGGAGCCAATGCCACTGGATCCAGGATGGACCCGTTGTTGGACAAGGGTCTGGGATAAAGGCTTTAGGAATTGTGGGGGGAAACGCTGGGGCTGGAGAGAGGAGTGTGAATTTGTGGGAGCAGCAATTGGTGCAGAAGGAAGGGCAGGAACTGAGATCCCCTTTGGAATCCAGTCCATGGAGGAGCACAAACCCTCCTGCAGCCAGGGAGGATCACACAGCCCAGCGGGGCAGAGGCTGTGATCCCGTGGGAGATCCCGGCTGGATCAGGGAAGAGTGAGGGGTCCCCTCCCTGAGGAGGAAAGAGGGAACACCTGGGATGAGCCGACTGCAGCCCCCATTCCCTGTTCTCTCTGTTGGGAGTGACGCCGAGCCCGGCAGGAAGGAGCTGAAGGCGATTTTGGGGATGAAGGTGTTTTCACCATTTAATTTTATTTCTCATCACCCAGCTCTGGTGACAAATTCATTTCCCCACGTGGATTCCACCCTGTCCTTCCCTCACCCCAAACCATTCCCGGTTTTTCTCTGGGCAGGGAGGGATGGAGCAGCTCTGGTGTCCGGGGTGACCCCACCGCACCAGCTCATTAATTAAAACCTCCCAAAAGGTTTAATTACTGCCAAGTGCCGGCTCGGGGACCTGTTTGGAGCAGCTCAGCCTGGCTGGGATGGGCTCCGGGCGGATTTTGGGAGGGACAGCAGATGGCAATGTGGCGCTGCGAACCGCCCGAAACCTGCGGAATTCGGGATGGATGGACCACGAAATTCGGGATGGATGGACCACGAAATTCCTTGGAAAATGCAGAGCAGCGCTGCTGAGAGCGTCCTGCCTGTGGTTTGGGCACAAGATTCGGGGGTGTGATGGGTTTTCCATAGGATGTGATGGATGGATTGGGAACTTTGTCCCTGTCCTCGGGCTCTTTGTGTCCCCTCGGAGCCGGGCTCGTGGATTTTGGGATGGGGGACACTCCCAGCCTGT